GGACACCACAAAGGACAGCCAATTTTCAAAGGCCTATTTCTTTATTCCACATAAATTCTCCTTAAATCCTTAAATTTTCTAAGTACTCCTGGGTTCTATCTATACTGAGATACCTACTAAGAAGCCCTTTCAAGAAGCAGGAGGTACCTCGTTTCACTCAAGAGAGCACAGAAAGTAAAGCATATAACGTGCCCAGGTCTCAGACACCCATTTTTATCCTTGCCTGCCCCAGTTCATGGGGATTGTCATCCTTGCCTGTTTCAGAGGAAGCCTCTTCACAAGCAGCTACAGACTCAGGTACGCACAAGCCGAAAGGGCCAGAGTGACTCAAGGGGGTTCCAAGCTCACAACAGGCTCCCAGGCTCAGATGGGAGAATAAAACACGTCCAACCCTGGCACCAGGATGACAAAAAGCCCGAAAGGGCCGGAGCGACTCGAGGGGGTTTCAAGCTCACAACAGGCTCCCAAGTCAGATGGGAGAATAAAACACGTCCACCCTGGCACCAGGTGACAAAGAACAGCCCCTGCCCTGGGCCCCTGGAATCACCTCTCATGGGACCCCGAGTACGTTCCATAACTTATTCCAGTCACTTATTTTAATTAACCACCAATATCGCTTGGTACAGGAGTGTGCACAGATGTGACTTTTTTTTTTTAAACTCTCAGATGAAATTCCTGATCTTTAAAAAGGCAGAGAATGCTTTCAACAGGATAACAATTACAAGAAACGCAAAAATAGAAGCTGGAGACCTGAGATATATATATGTATATATATATATCTCGCTTTCTCTCTAATGAGCATGTCATGATACAGTCACAGCTCATACAGCTGACATTCTTATACTGGAAAGGGGATTTTTTTTCTTTTTAAATACACATTTTTTTACAGTAGGATTTAAATATATATATATATATATATATACAGCGCCATTTCATAGGCAGAACTAAAAGCAATAGCCTTTTTTCAATGCAAGACAGCTGGTCAACACCCGCTCTCCCACCAGTGTCCTAGATGCGGGCTTCAAGCTTTCCCTCCGCCTTTTTCCTTCCCATTTCGCACGTTCTCCCTCCTCACAGCGCGGTCGTGGCGGGCGGC